AAAAAAAAAAAAAAAAAAAAAAAAAAACCGCGAATCTGAATCGGAGTATTCCTTGCTGTTCTTGTTTGAGCGCCAGTGAAAATTTGTGCGGGGTTTCAATTTGTTCGTTTGTGTAAGCTGGGACCTGCTGGGGCTTTGTGGTTGGTGCTCAATAGGGAATAGGTAGGTCTCTTGAGTTGGGGTGCGGGGCTGTTGTGAGTCTGTGCCCCACTAACAAAAGCCCCTATCGTTAGCTTAATGACTTTTAAAATTAACATCCTCTGCTTTTGGTCTTTCGGAATTCTACTTGGCCAAGAATCATGCTTCGTAATTATATTTGGACAAATAATATTGATATATTAATAATTAATAATATATGTTTGGACATTCCATAAATATTATTTATCTAACTTAGGTATTTTAATATCACTTGTACTAATATAAAACCCTTTGATTATTTGTAATTTTACATAATGAGACACTAAGTGACTAATATATCCCTCAATTTGATGTGTTCCCTTCAATTAGATATTGAATTGTAAATGTATTTTAAAAGTTGATAATTTTTGTATTTCTTATCAGTTTTACATATATTATATATTAAATTAATCATCATTTGATGATTTTCGATTTGACATCCATATTGTATATATGAAATAAATAAATAGATTATATTTATATTTATAATAATAAAAATAATAATATTTATTAAAATTCATAAGAAAAATAAAATTATTTATCAATTGATATATTTATTTTTAATGTAGTTATATGTTGTAAGTTAAAAAATTATTATAATATAACAAAGGTAAGTCGCACAAATAAAAAGTGTCATACTAAATATATAATAATATATATATATGTTTGTAAAAGATATTTAAATTTTCAACTACTTTTTCTCATTAATTTTAGATTTTAAGAAAAAAATTAGCAAGCATCCGAGTAATACACGGGTGTTATACTAGTTAGATTAATTTATTAAATAATTAACCTAATGATTCATGGATTAACATTACATTAAATTAAATTAAATTAAATTTAAGGGTTTAAAACTAGGAACAAATAATTTGTTGCTCCCGTCTAATCCCTTCTTAATTAGATCTTTGTAATACAGTTAACTCCGTGTTGCTTTGAGAGTAAGGATAAAAGGAAAAGATGAGACTCAACATCCGCTTGAATATGTAGTTCCTTCATGGTTCAAGATAAAATGATATGAAAGTACTATTTGATCCTACAAAAGATTGAGTCGTCTTTAGTTGTAGAATGTTCGAAATCATAGGAATATTGTGTTACCATATCCTGAAAGTATTTATTGTTCAAGATGTAATGTGCATTCTACAGAAGTAAATATTGGAAAGGTGGACAAAAAGCGTGAAAATGCCCAAGGCTTGAAAAAAAATTCCCATTGTGCAGAAGATGTTAGAGAATGGGTTCAAAGACTTCAATCTCAACTATTAAGGATGACACTTCAGGCTTCCATCCATGAAGAGACAGGAAGTTGTATGGAGAAAATGGTGCAGGAGTGTAATAAGCAAATTTTTTGCTTTTGCAACAAAGAATGGGATATCTAATGAAGAAGTTCCTTCGTCCAACATAGATGGTAGAACCGAAAATAAAGGCTTGAAAAAAAAAGGTGGAAAAGGGGGAACAAAGCGGCCAAAGGATTGTCGACCGCAAATTGACGGCGAGGGAGATCGAGATTTAATACAGAAAGCATATAAGAAAATTGTAGCAATGGTGGAAAGGGAAAAACGAGGCAATAAAAGAAACTTATAGGGAGAAGGGCATTCGAAGAGGTCGACGAACCTAAACCATCTGATGGAGGTGGAGATGAACGAACAGGATGAAAAACAAAAGTAGGTGATTGAGTGGTCGAGCTAAGCCGTCTGATGTAGGTCAAAATGTACAAGTGAGATTAAAAATAGAAATTAAAGAGATAGGTCGAGTAGAACCGTCCGATGTGGAGTGAAAAGGGCGGACAAGATAAACAATGGAATTTGAAGTGACATGTCGACCAGGAAAGTCTGATAAAACTAAAATCAAACAGATGAGATCAATGGAGCATTCCTATTGGCCGAGGATGAGATAAAATTTAAGCAGTTACGTCGATATAGAAGGGTATCAAGTGATTTGAAAGGACGTCGGATTGATGTGAAAAATGTCAGGAGTTTGAATTCAAATTGAAAATTCAGGACCTTGTCTCTAGGTCGAATCGATTGGCTCAATTATAAGGAAGGGGAAAACAACTCGATAGGTTATAGTTCTACTTTTAGGTCAAGTTATACTTCCTCGAACATAGTGAGGGGGACTAGATGATATGAGATACTATACCAATGTATTTTAGATCGTGTGAGACCTAAGAATAACTCAACCTGTTCGAGTGCACCGCCAAGTCTACCGGATGTTAAAACGACTAAAGGTCGAGAAACCACCAGGTCGATGATGACCATCAAGCAAATCAGTTTAGTTATAGGTCGATATAGGGCTCTCAGATAGCCTGACGGAAAGCCAACCTAGAAGCCAACAAGTTGACGTACGATCTAAAAGACAGTCTCACTCATTGAAGGTCATAACGATATAGTTCAAGAGAAACAGAGCTAATAAGACAATTATGTTACCTAATGAGATAGACTAATGTAAACACACCACATAATAGAAAAGTAGGAATATAAATAGAATAAAAAAACACGTGGATATGAGTAAGTGACTAACAAAATTGTGCAGTTTGGGCACCCAAGCAGTACGCTTGGGTAGTTTGGGCAATAAGACAAACCAATCAGGCAGTCTTGGGCAACAAGGTAACACCTATATATAAAGATGTGGAGTATGATCATCACAACTCTAAACACTTTAAGTATTCCACTTATTTTGATACAGTTACATACAATTCACTTTATCTTCATCATTTTTTTTACTGACTTAAGCATCATAGCTTTTACGTCGGAATGACATATTTTACAAATTATTCACCGCCCCGTGAATAGATCAAAGGACGTTCAACCGAGTCGAGTTCGTTTGAACTACGAAATAGCAAATCTTTTTTTTTTTTAGTATAAAAAATATATTAAATATATATATACATATATATATATATCGATTAATCTCGACCGCGCGTTGAGTTATTGGTTCGAGCCAATAAAAACTACGAAAGTCGAAAGTATTCAACGCGAAACGACGACGTAGGTACCCATCAAAGACCAATTAATTGCAAACCTAAAATAAATTGCCCGACTGTGAATAGAATTGCCCGATCGGTGGTCTGAATGCGATCGCGGAGGACGGCGATTAGGTCGGATAATCTTTTCCGATAGCTGGATTTGCTGCCGTATCACAATAAAATATACTCCTTTTCTGAAAATCGCAGTAGTAGTTCATTATTTTTCACGATTTTCAAGATTCAATCCGGTTTCGGTCGATTGGGTGAGGGAATAATCCTTTACTTTATCGCTGTTAATGGGTTTCGATTGTTATTCGATAGCTTATCAATTCGATTTCTTTTTAGAGGGGCTTTTGTAGATCCTGCAAAGCTTTCGTTACTGCTGTTGAAATATCTGATCGTTCGTAATTCAGCTGCGTTTCTAGTACAATTCTTGCTTGAAGGACGTAATTTGTATGCAATTACAGATCTGTTTCGCTTTGCCATGTTTGTTGAGATTTTGACATTTTCTTGGCATGTGTTTCTTTTGTTTGTTAGAGTTTGATGCTGATTTGATTCATCTGCAAATTATTGGCCTTTTTTTAACAAGTATTTAAGCTGAGCTGTGTCTATTTTGAGCATTTTTTTTTTTGTATGATGGAATATCACGTCAGTTTTTCGTTTGGGAGGGCTTTTTCTCGGTGCTTGTTTTTTATTACTGCAGTAATTTACCAGCTTTAGCTGCATTTGTTGTAAATTTTTGGTTGAGGGTCCTTAGTTTTTATGTTCAATTTGCATTGTGTGTGAGATTTACTTTTGCTACTAAGCGTTTCTTGAACTTTTTAGAGTAGCATGTCATGTTGATACCTCTGAGTTTTAGCTCCTATCGAGTAGCGAGCACTAATAGCAAGGAAGCCATTAGGCTTGACTGAAAATGACTTTCTCGAGGTCAGCCACTTCACTTCGCCAATACTTTTGACTTCACTTCGCTTCGCTTCGTTTGTTCCCTCTTTCTTTCTAAAGAATGACCGAGGAAAGGTGAGCACGCCAACAGGACGAAAGCCTAACACAAAGAAAGAATCTCAAATTGATGTTCACTGCCCTTCCAGAAAGGCCGAACTAAATCGACGGACATTTCGTTATTTTAAAGTCTAGTATTATGAATGTGTCTAATAGGTTATTCGTAATTTCTATCAAATTAAGAAAATATGAAAAGCTCTTTCTGGATGTTCATTGATGGTGATTGGATCTTTGTGGAGATGGCAGATTGTCATTTTCCAGTTCTGTTTAAAGTCCTCTGTGGTTTTGATTGCTTCAAATTTACTCTGCAAATCCTAAAGCCTGTAATTGGAGATGAATTTTGATTGTGCATAAAATGAACCACTTCAAAATTAGATATGGTTGTTCGAAGAACGTTGGGATATTGATTGTATGGACGATTACCTTATTGGTTTAGTGAAGGACTTATTAATGAAAATCCTCTCTTACCTTTTTTATCAGCCAATGGCATCTTCTGGAGACTCCTGGGTAAGGGAATATAATGAAGCAGTCAGACTTTCTGATGACATCACTAACATGATATCCGAAAGGAACTCGCTGCCAGCATCTGGGCCAGAAGCCCAACGGCATTCATCTTCCATACGGAGGAAAATAACCATACTGGGAACCAGACTGGACAGCCTACAGTCTCTTCTATCAAAGCTTCCCGGCAAGCAATCTTTGTGAGCTATCCAACCTCTTACCTGTAAATATTAGTAACATGCTATTAGATTGGAATGATAAACTAGTTGTCATATTTCCTCATTTGTCCATTGTTGCCTTTTGCATTGGTTAGATATGCTTTAGTCCCCTAGCCACTTTAAATATTTGCCTCAATAACTTTTCTTTATGCCACTACCCAGCTTCGCACCTGAAGTTGGTCTTTTTGAACAAAAGGTTTGGAGGAAGAATGGATATATCTGAGATACTGAATGGAAATAAGATAACAATGTAATATTTGAAGTTGATGTGACACGGAAATAGTAAAATAGTGTTTTGTAGTTAGAATTATGTGAGTGAGTGAATAGTTAGTTTATTGAGGAATGTGTAGTAATGATTGGTTTTTATTTGAAGTTGTGTTGATGAAATTGAGAAGAAAAATTATTGAGGAATGTGTAGCAATGATCAATTTTTATTTCAAGTTGTGTTGATGAGATTGAGGAGAAAAAGGTGAGAATGAATGACTAGTGTGCCTTCTCAATGTTTCTGTATCCAATCACGACTTCAACGAAAAACTTCAGCTAATGATATGAAAATGAAAATTTCTTATATCCAGTTGCTGCTGTAAGCTCTCAATTGTTTATTTATGCTTTGTTTGCCCATTTTTAGATTTCACAAGTACTTTTCTTCATTTTGATGTTTCCACTTGTAGATATATAAAATCACTAATTGATAACCTCTGCTGAGCTCTGTTTCCAAATTTCATATTTTATATCTTTATAAGTAAACGGACATCCTTTCAGTAAAATGTTTGATTAAATGAACCTTTGTTCGTTGCTTGTCGAGCTAAATTCCTTGTGCTCTGTTTTATACCTGCTCCTTTCCATTTACAGGTCTGAGAAAGAAATGAATCGTCGTAGGGACATGGTTTCTAATTTGAGATCAAAAGTGAACCAGATGGCTTCCACTTTGAACATGTCAAATTTTGCGAATAGGGACAGTTTACTTGGCCCTGAGATAAAGCCTGTTGATGCAATGAGCAGAATCAGTGGCCTTGACAACCATGGTGTTGTTGGTCTCCAAAGACAAGTCATGAAAGGCTAGTTGCTGGGAGACAACTCTTTACTTCATTTGATTTTTTTTCTTATTTATTTGTTTTGACAATTTTCTGTTTCTTTTTCCCACTTTTTGCTACAATTCCCTGCAGAACAAGATGAGGGTCTTGAGAAACTGGAGGAGACAGTGATAAGCACCAAGCACATTGCACTGGCAGTAAATGAAGAGCTTGATTTGCATACAAGATTAATTGTGGGTTGCCCTTTTTTTCTTTTCTTTCACATTTTGTATGCTCTGTAATCTGATAATGTCTATTCTTAATAGTATTCTGTAAATCGTTAGATGCATTGATAATGAAGTTTTTTTATCTGCCTATGTGCAGGATAATCTAGATGAACATGTCGAGGTCACAGACTCCAGATTGCAGGTGACTGTTGCTTTTGATAAAGTCTTCAAAGGATAGTATATTGCATTTGAATGCTGCTTTTTGATATAATCTTTTTATAGTTACGGTAGGTTTGACAACATGATAACAATTCAGCTTTGAGGGTGAGGAAACCATGCCATGATTTTAGAAGAAGCAATCGTATAGAAACTAAAACAGTTGGAAGTCATGAGTTAGATATGCTTGAGTAGATGCTTAAAGCTGAAAGAATAAGATAAAGGAGTTTATTTGTTTTCAAAATGTGAATAAAAAGGAAAAAGCGCATGCTGCAATTATATCTCTATGTGGGAAGGGAAACAATAGTTTTGGGTTATGATAGACGTCTTTAGATAACAATCTTGGAGATAAACTTCGATTTTTTTAAAGCACTTTACTATAGTTAGAAGCTCTGCATTTGTATCGTTGATTATGTGTAAATAATAAGAGAGGGTGCGCAAATATATTAAAAAATTATTTTTCTAGCTAAAAGCTGAGAAGCCCCACTACCGAGTGTCCCTATCTTTGCAAGTTCTCTTCATTATTAAAGCAAGAACTATAGACGGTTCTCCGTTTTGAAGAACCCAAATCCCGAAATTAAATACTGTACTTTTGAACTTCGAAGACACTTGTTTAATGTGTTTCTTACTAATGTATCGAGAAGGATATCGTGAAACTGTGACCGAATAATTCAGCAACTGTTTGGAGGGCATTTATCCAAATTTGATTCTTACTGTTTGTTGTTTTGTTTCTAATCGAGCAGAGGGTACAAAGGAGGCTTGCAATATTGAACAAGAGGACTAAGGGTGGCTGCTCCTGCTTGTGCCTCCTCCTATCTGTCATAGGGATTGTGGTTTTGGTTGCCATCATATATTTGTTGGTCAAGTATTTGTAAGTTAAGAAAGGGTACGTTCGAACTTCTTCATGTGCTTTTGTTTTATGGATTTATATAATTATGTTGGTAAAAAGAAGAGCTAAAGGCGGGACAGGTAATTCCGTGTATTTGCTTTCACAAGGAATGATGGATTTCCAGATTGTTTGTCATGTATATAATTACATGATTTGGTTTGGTGCAAAATTGTACTGATATATATAACTTATTTGAAGCTTTTCTGCCTTGAAGAGAACTTATGTTGCTGGTTGACGATATCGGTATTCCTCTACGTTAACTTGTTTTACTTTTTCGTTTGGATTTTATATAAAATGTAAGTCCTTATATGGATTAGTCTTGATTTAGTCATAAAAGTGGATATATGAAGTAGACTTTAAAGGTTCATTTTGTCAAAGACCAAGGCGTTTTTCGACGTTTGGGACCCTCCAGATACGTGCTTCGCGCGTATTTGGAATCCAATCCAAAGAGACTCGCGTCTTTCTTTTGAATACGAAAACTGTGTGGAAGAACCGCTGTAAAATTGTATATGGGGGTATTGTTCATTGTACAGACTACACTTTAAAATGCTACCAAAAGAAATAAAAGATAATAATGGTGATGATTCGAAAAATGGAAAGTATTAAAAAGACGAAATAATAACAATAAAATCAAAACTAAAATGTTCATTTGGTGGATAAAGATAAAAGGAATTGAACAGGACTCAACAATGACGATTCGTGTAGTTAATTATAGAGCAAGCAAAAAAAAAAAAAAAAAAAAAAAAAAAAAAAAAAATGAGCACAAATCTATATATATATTAAAAGCCAATCTATTTATTAAAAATAGTAGCAAGAAAAGTCAACACACATTTCATGCAAACCTTATTTGGAAATTTTTTACTATATGTATTAAATGCTTGCATATTTAGATTTACTATCCAGATATGATCTTAAAGATTTTTTTCCTTAAATAATGTATGGAATGATTTTACTGATATCCATTATAATTAATACTAGTACAGAGCCCGTGCGATGCACGGGGTGCACAATTTTGAGGTCATTTATCTATTCTTATAATTATATAAATGAATAAAAAAAAAATGTACGGGATATATAGTACGTGACCTGTAATATGACCTGTAATAGGCCAAACTGTGAACACGAGTGATGCACGGGGTGCACAATTTTAAGGTCATTTATTGGTACAGAGCCCGTGCGATGCACGGGGTGCACAATTTTTTAGTATGTGTAATAAAAATACATACCGTATGCACGGGACATGAGCACTAAATGAGTCATTTCCACAAAGCTTGCCCGTTAAGTAGCTCCTGAACACAGGTGCACAATTTGTAGTACGTACTATAAAATCAAAATAAATTTCCATACAATTAGATAATAAATTAGATAATAAATAAAGCCTTTTTATTTTAGTAAAGATTTTACGTACTTTGTTTTTTTACTTATCGGATGTTATGTGATTTTTTTTGTTAAACCGATTTTATGTAATATAATACAAATACAATTAGAGGATTGAACAAAATCAGAACAGATTTTTTATATAATTAGATAATAAAAAGGAATTATATAAGGAAAAGAAGAAATTAGATAAGAAAAAGAAGGAATTAGATAAGAAATTTTGAATCTGACTTTTTTTTTGGATAGATAGACTTTACGTACAAAATTTGACTTCACTGATTTTATGAGATTTATTTTGACAAAATCGATGTTAATATGGAATAAGACAAATAAATAAAGTCTTTTTTATTTTGGTAAAGATTTTACGTCTTTTTTTTGACTTGTCAGATGTTATGGGATTTTTTTTCTTAAACTGATTTTATGGGATATAAGACAAATAAATAAAGTAATTAAATAAAATTCTGGATAGACATAGAAATGCATTAATTACGTTGATTTTTCAATCTACTAAATTTGGTAAATATGATACCTTATATAATAAGTATACATACAAATAAATAACATGCCAAAATTTTAAAGAATAATTAATGTATTTTAATTTATTATCTAGCCATGATTAATATCATTTAATGATGTGATCATTATCTCTTAAATGATAAATAATATATTTTAAAAAAAAATATTTGTTTTTTATATAGTAAAATAAAAATTAAAAAATACTATCGACAAATATGAATTATAATATCACATCATCAACATCAACATACCTAGTATATTCTCAACATCAATATATATCAGTAAAATCATTGCAGAAGTCAATAAAATTATTTAAGGAAAGAATCTTTTTGATCATATTTGAATAGAAAATGTATATATGCAAGCAATTAATGCATATGGTAAAAAATTTCTAAATAAAGTATGCATTAAATGTGAGTTGACTTTTCTTGCTACTATTTTTGGTAAATATGATGGCTTTTAATATAAGTATAGATTTGTCGAGTAATATTTTTTAACCTTTATTTAATTATATAAAACTAATAGTTTTTTAAAAAATTAATATTATTTATCATTTAAAAAATAATGATCACATCATTAAATGATTTTATTGATGGTTAGATAATAAAATTATATTATTTATTCTTTAAAATTTCGACATGTCATTTATTTGTATACTATTGTCAACTATGATAGTGTTTCTATCAGTTTTTTTTTATGTTTCAAAAATGAACTTATTGTAAAATATTTTTTTATTGCATAGTATGTTAAATAAACTATAAAGCCTTAGAATGAAAATTAGAAAAAATCTCTTGATTATGTAAAGAATTTATTTTTTGGCAATTTCTAAATTATTTAAAAAAAAAAAGAATTATTATGAGAAAATTGAATTCTAAAAAACATGTGTGTGTATTTTGTAAACATTTATACTCAAAATTTTATTTTGAATTTCATTACATAAAGAAGACTACTTCTATAACTTTTATAAATAATAAATAATGACATTATATGACTATAAATTTTATAATAAAATAATAATTGAGTATTATATGGTGAACAAGAATAAATAAAATTTTTATTTTTTCTTATATCAATGAATAAATATGTATCCTAAAATCAAACAAATATTAGTATGACTTGTTAGCGGAATTATATATTAATTAACATGTTAATTTTTTGGCTTAAATATACGCCACTTATTAAAGATGTGAAATATGGATGATCTAAGCCTATTGTTTTTTTGTCTAGATGTACAAGTCCTATAAATATAATTGATTTATTATATGTATAATGTGCATCGCATGGGGTATACACTAGTGTATATTAATGACGAATAAGATAAAAATAAGATGAAATTAATGCTTGCCTTATTGAGCTCGTGCGTTTTCTTATTTTTATTTTTTATTTTTTATTTTTTTTTTTATCGTGTATTTTATGAAGTATATTTATATGATTTATGATCGTAGAGGTTATTATAATTTATTCCAAGTAAAAAGTGAATATCATCGTGACTGCTAATGAGTCACGGGACACGTTGCGTGTATCTAGTTGAGGGATCAGCTGCATGTAACATGCTTGGTGGCAGTACGCATTTTTGGCAGTGCTACCCGTGCACACTGACACACCTATGTGTCAAGACAGTTTAAAATGAACATGTTACTTTATAAAATGAACATGTGTAAAATGCTAGGTGTGCCAAGGCACACGGTAGTAGCACTGCACTCGTTTAGCATGCAAAAAGAGTTTGGGCATAAATTCTACTTGATGAGGGTTCAACTAACCCTCAGCTCCCCCAGCCCAGGCTAGCCGTGGCCCTGCCTGGTAAGCCCATTCTAGCCGTGGCCTGACTGGCTCGTGCCCCGGGGGACCCACCGACTCGAATGAGTCCCACAGTGGACTCATGGCCTTCCACACTGCTCAAGTGTAGTTTTTGCCCTCCCCAGCATTCGAACCTGTGACCCTGAGCATAAGGTCACCAAGCATGCAATGCTGGTACCATCTCACCAAATCCTTTAGGACGGGTCGTACCGGTTAAGCATTTCTGATGTCTTATGTTCTAGTCCTCTTTCTTTGGCAGGACCGGTAGTACAAGTGAGCTCCTGACAATAATGGTTGGCGACACGTGGAACACGAACACAATCTAAGAAATAAATGCAAATAGAAGATCAGATTAAAGTCAAGTTGTTCGTAAGTTAGGGCTCTAAAGCCAAAGGTCAGGGGCAAGGAACAACCGTATTCACCCGCCCGCGGTCAATCCAATACCTTATAATGTACTAGTCCTTTCGAAACCAGAGGAGCTCAGTAACTACCTATGTGATTTCAGAAAGCAAGGGGTATGAATCTCCCGGTGGTTCCGCTGTAGCATGGTTGCGATCCTGTTTTAGCTAAAGCAGATGGAACAACCAGAAAAAAGTTTTCGTCTGATCTTTTTACTGATTGGGAAAGCTTGTGCATCAATCCTTAGATTCTAGCTTCCTGGAACAGCTGTAGAACTTGTTTCATCTGATATATTCCTCTGTTTTGCAAACTGTTAAAGCCACGTACGGCTGCCATCCATATGCTTCCCGGGACTTCCACTACCCGCCTTTCCCGAACTCGGTAAACTTGCTCCTGTCTTGTGTCTTGAGGAGGCGTATTATAGCGAGTGATCATTTGCGGCTCTATTTGGTGAGATGGTACCAGCATTGCATGCTTGGTGACCTTATGCTCAGGGTCACAAGTTCGAATGCTGGGGAGGGCAAAAACCACACTTGAGCAGTGTGAAAGGCCATGAGTCCACTGTGGGACTCATTCGAGTCGGTGGGTCCCCCGGGGCACGAGCCAGTCAGGGCCACGGCTAGACTGGGCTCACCAGGCAGGGCCACGGCTAGCCTGGACTGGGGGGCTGAGGGTTAATTGAACCCTCATCACTACGAAATTTTGGTTTTATTCGTTTTGCTCCAGCACATAATGCCATTGATACGAAGTTGGCCTGCAACAGCTATATATTGGATACACTGTAGTTCAAGAGTCTTCACTTCAGTGAATTCAAAGTTCACATATACGTGTTAATTCAAAATTCAACTAGTCCATAAATTTTCGATTTTCTTAAATTTTTACAGGTGCCCATGTTAT